AAAGGTTAATTGCATTTGTTGGATTTCTAATTTGTTGGTAATGGTGATTTGAATGTTAGAGGTAGTAGATAGTAATTAATAAAAGTTTTGAGACAGCTTGACTGGGTAATGAAATAAAACTATCATAAATGTACGACTTTTCGACAAGATTTTGTCATCTACAAATACAAGTAATATTAAAGTAAAGAACAAAGAGGTCACATGACTAGATATTGCCTCATAATATAGGTATCTTGGTACCTTGGGGTGTTGATTTAACGTGAAGCTATTTTCTTCAATTAAGATAGCTTTTTTATTTTGCATTTATTGATTTTAGGTTCTTTGTTTAAAGTTACAGTATTTTGTCTGGATACTGTGGTTTATTTTAGTTGCAATGGTGGTAAACAGGGGAGGGTTTTATATTATGTTCAGTGAATCTGTTTTCCAATTTTCTACCTGTTTTTCCAATGTCAAATGTTATTTTATAAATGACATTTGAATTTGTGATTCTATGTAATTTTTATTTAATAATGATTTTAGTTTAGTGCTGGGTTTTTGGATGAATTTGACGTCAACAGGAATTTTATGTTTGATGGTAAGTTTTCTCCAAGTGTTGATTATTTTTGAGCTGATGTCAGTGATAAATGGTAAATTGCAGTGTAATGTTGTGTTGTTTGGTGTATTAGTGTCAATTTTGTTTGTGAGTTGAGTTTTGAGGTTTATGTTCTTGTGGTTGTGTGGAAATGTTTTGACAATGGTTAGTGGAAATTTGTTGGTGTGAATGAAGGAATGATTTATAGAGTTGATTTCTTGACCTGTGTACTCGGTTGAGCAAAGTCTTGAACCTGTGTGTATAAGACTTTTTAGCATATTAATTTTTTGTTTGGATTCATAGGCAGAATTCCAGGGGATGTAGAGGCCTGTGTGAGTGATTTTTTGGTGAATTTGGGTTTTGAAATGTGTGTGGTTCTGATAATGTCGAGGTTAAAAAGAAAAGACAACTGTTTGTTATGTAATTTGACTAATCTTTTGAGAGGTAAATTGCATACCCAACTGTTCCCTTAGGGACAGCCCAAGAGATCAGGTGAAAGTCTACAAGTAAATGTGAACTCTCAATCCACAATGGGCTTTTTTTTTTTTTTGAAGCTTTTGTAATGCACTTTAAATGTCTTGCTTTAAAAGTTTTAAGGAAGCTGCACTTTGATTTGTGTTTTCTCTAGATTTTGTTTCAAAAGCTTTCAATTGTTCACAATTAGGTCTTGTTTCTGCTGTGGTCTTTAGAGGCTCGTTAACTGTCAGGGTCATTGCAGTCATTGTTCAACATGTTTTGGATTACTACATTCTAAATGGGTCTTCTACCTTGTCAGCCAAATTTCCTCAGTCGGGAATGATTTATTAAACTATGACTTTATCATTCGTGAAATGACCTCTTTTTTTTATCTCTCTCTGGATTACATTCTCAGGTGTGTTCCTATCCATTTCTTTTGCCTGTGTTCATTATTGTTTTTCATTTTCTCATTTTCTGACCCTTGATACTTGGAGTTATCTTGTTGTGTCTTGGGGTCAGATCTTGAGATTTAAATCCTTTCTTACACCCACTCAGTGTTGGGTAGTTTTGGGCATTTTCTTCTTCTCTCATTCTCAATTGACTTCAGACTATCTTCTTTGCCTGTAAATTATGGGATATCTGATCGCCCCTGGTTTTAAACGTCTCATTCTATGTGAGAGGTTCATTTGCTTTCAGGGACTCTGGCTTTCCTAGAACCCTGCATTCTTTTGGGGCATACATTCATGTTTATCTTACAGTGGATTTTGTGGACCCAAGAGTTTTTTTCTTGGGGTCCTTTGTCCTCTTTTGTGAGCCTGTCATGGTGACTAGACCCTGCCCATACTACTTCCTGCATTCCTTTACCACTTCTCAGATCTCTATTTTGTTTGTTGCTTTTCTTATTGATTGAGGTACATATTTCGATGAGGACAGCACTCCCAATGTTTGGATACTGGACAAGAGCTCACTCCACATCATCATTTTGCTCAACCATCTTTATCTTCATCAGTCATGTTCCACTCAGTGTATTCCACAGTCTTTTCCTGTTCCAACCATCCATGTGGCCTTGTCCATGGCCTTTCTCCTTTCTTAGTACCAAGAAGTGTTTCTTCCCCTGTGTCCTCTCTGTTATTTTCCACTTCTTTTTTCTCCGTAGACCTCCTTGACCAATTCCCTTGCCTTACTGAGTCCTCAGACTACCGGCAATTTACATTGTAAGTAAGTAACATCATTCTTGTCACATTTCATTCCATAGTTTTTGGCTTCCACAGGTTACCATTCTTTAATCATTCCACCATCTTTGAGAAGAATACCTAATATTTCTCTTTAAGAGCCTCTTATTTCATTACATAGGATTCCACTAGGTGGCTATTGTTGCCTCCTAGGGTATATTTACCTAAAAATTCTCATTGAGCCAGGATAACAAAGTGTTCATATCATCTGCTCTGGCTCTGCACGTGCCTACTGAGATATGGAGTGTTTTGCAAGACCACTTGAGGTTTCTTTGTGAGCCTGTCATGGTGACTAGACCCTGCCCATACTACTTCCTG